TGCTGGTCCTTTTCTCCAGCTCTCCACTTGACTGCTCTCGTCCAGGGCACTGATGGGCTCCGTGGTCAGCCCACAGCCTGCGGGCGGGGTAGGGGCTTTGTCTCCGGTACAGCCTAGTGTATTCCAAATGCCCAGTGCTTCCAGCGTTTCACACAGCTGGCACGAGTAGGTGTTTGCTTAACGGATGCGTTCGTGCATCAGTAATGTCGCCACGCAGCCTACCAAGTCTCCAGGGAACTTCCGTGCTGCTCTGTGGGTTAGCAACACTGAAACTGAGATCGTCTGCTTTCACGTGCAAGTAGCTCATCGGGTTCCGCCTGAAGCACATCTGAGAAACGTGCATCTTTGTGTTAGGGCACTGTCAAGTGCAGGGGTATCCCTCATTGTGGCCATTTGGGGAGGGAACCATCAGATGGAAGACCTTTCCCCCCGCCCTTCAAATAAATAAATCATAAAAACTTATTTATCTATTTATTTGAGAGGCAGAGTTACAGACAGGGAGAGACAGAGAGAGAGATCTTCCATCAGCTGGTTCACTCCCCAGATGGCCACAACAGCCAGGCTGGGCCAGGCGGAAGCCAGGAGCCTGGAGCTCCGTCAAGGCCCCAACGTGGTCCAGGGCCACAGTACTTGTGCCTGCTACTGCTGCTTCCCCAGGGCATCCGTGAACAGCCGGAACCTGAACGGGCATCATACGGGATCTGCCGTCACTGGTGGCAGCTTAGCCCAGTGCATGCGGGGCCACTGTGGTCGATGTTTTAAATGTTTTAAATACCCTCGGTGGTCCTAGTGTTTACCTAGCAGCTCAGGCCTCTTCCTGCAGAGTCCGACTGGCTTCCCTTCACCCTACATGCGTGTGATAGGATTTCTACAAGCTAGAAGATGGCTCGCATTTCGTGGGAAGACACGGAATTTGCTGAGTCTGTCACCATTTTCCCATCTGACACAACACTCATCTTTCTAAAACGCTGAGGCATCTGGAAATTCAAGAACTCCAGGAAACAAGTGTTCGCCCCAACTCCAGGGTCTAGGGCCCCGTGACCTCTGCAGGCGCAGCCTAATGAGCCCGAGAGGGGCCCAGGCACAGCCTGGCCCTGCAGAAACAGTGGCGATGCCCTCCCTGGCTCATCTGTGCGGCCGCTGGAGGAATGGGGCCTCCAGGGACAGGAAGTGCCTTCCGGGGAGCTGATGTCCTTCGCCAGGAGCACGCACCGAGCCGGGCATGTTCACGGGGTCCTTCCAGGGCAGTCTGGGGGCTGCCCAGCTTTGAAGCCAAAGGCTGGACGCAGTGCCACCTCCCCGACCAGGCCCGGGAGCCACAGTCCTCTCTTCCAGCCACTGATGCTGGGAAGCCCCTGTGTGGTTCCACAAAATGTGCTGGGGGGTAACCAGGAAATGCCCCCCCGGGGGCAGAATTGAGCACAGAGGCTGGAGCTCCCCAGACCCAGGTGCCACGTCCCCCCAGGGTTAGGAAGTTGCTGTTGGAGACCCCCAGGGACACCCCCGGGCCCTGTCTGCAGAGCACAGCTCACAAACACTCAAGTCCTCTTGCTCCCCTGCCGTCCGTATGTTCTGAGCTCCAGCAGTTCCCCATGGGGCCAGTGGGAGAGCAAACCACCCCGACCCTTCCCGACACCAAGCAAGGCTGAGTGCGGGGCCAAGCCGCTGCCTGTGCTCTGGCGTGCCAGAGTCCCGGCTGCTCTGCTTCTGATCCAGCTCCCGGCTGTGGCCTGGGGAAGCAGCAGAGACGGCCCAGTGCTTGGGCCCCGGCACCCACGTGGGAGGCCAGAGGGAGCTCCAGGCTCCTGGCCCTGCCTGGCCCAGCCCCGGCTGCAGCAGCCACCTGGGGAGTGAACCAGTGGAGGGAAGCCCTTTGCCTCCCCCGTCAGTGCCCCTCCAACCCTCCACCACTCTGCCTGCCAAATTTTTAAAATTTAAAATAAGTAAATAAAAGACTAAGTCAGCATTTACTTTAAAAAAAATAGACCAAAATTTCCTAAAATTTCGATGCCAGTATCTCTGGCGGCAGAGCGCTAGAGTTGAAGATTTCCTTCCTGCACTTTAGCTAGTCTGCATTTTGACCAGGAAAAGTAGAACCAAAAGGCTAAAGGTAACGAGTTACTATGGGATGCTCTGATCTAAATTTTGTTAACTATGCCCTTTTTATTTACGATTTATTTTTATTTATTTGAAAAGCACAGTTAGAGAGAGGGGAGGAGAGAGAGACAGAGGCAGAGAGAGAGAGAGAGAGAGACAGAGAGACAGAGAGAGGTCTTCCATCTGCTGGTTCACTCCCCAAATGGCCACAAAGGCCAGAGCTGGGCCAGGCCAAACCGAGGAGCCAGAAGCTTCTTCCAGGTCTCCCACAGCGGTTCAGGGGCCCAAGCACTTGGGCCTTCTACTGTTGCTTTCCCAGACGCAGACGCATTAGCAGGGAGCTGGATGGGAAGTGGAGCAGCCCGGACTCGAACCTGCGCCCATATGGGATGCCAGCATCATAGGCGGCAGCTTTACTTGCTATGCCACAATGCCAGCCCCTGCCACATCTTTTTTTTTTTTTTTTTTTTTTTTTGCCAAGCAGAGTTAGACAGAGACAGAGACAGAGACAGAGAGAAAGGTCTTCCTTCCGTTGGTTCACTCCCCAAATGGCCACCACGGCCAGTGCACTGCGCCGATCCAAAGCCAGGAGCCAGGTGCTTCCTCCTGGTCTCCCATGCGGGCTGCCACGTTTTTAAACTGTTAACTTTACTCTTACTTTGCCTATCAAATTTGTCTCTCAAGGAACCGAGAAAGAAAAACGCCTGGGACAGATAACACTGAACCCTGAAACACGTGGTGCTCGGACTTCCAACACCGGCAGTCACCACTGCCGCCTTTGTCTCACGGGTTTGGGAGGATTCAAATCTCGTCCACTCTCATCCGATTCTGCTTAAAATAGAACAAAGCAGCCACGGTGCAGAGCTTCCTTTGGAGAAAAAAATCAATATTAGCTTGTCGTGAAATGCAGCAAACCCACTGTAGGTTTTAAGCCCTTTACAGATCTGTTTATTGTCATGCCCTTGAAAAGCAGAGCAAGAGGGAGACACTTCACCCAGCAGACTCCCCAGATGCTGCGGCCAGTCCAGGGTGGACCAGGCCACACAGGAGCCAGGAACCCCACCCGGGCCCTCCACGTGGACGGCAGGGACAGCACTTGAGCCGTCACCTGCCTCCTCCCAGCGCGCACTGGCAGGAAATGGAATTGGAAGTGGAGGAGCAAGGACATGAACCAGGCTGCGGCATGGGGCCGGGGTCCCACGTGGGGCTCGACCCACTGTCCACAACGCCCACCCCATACTCCCGTCTTATTAACCCTGCACAGATGTTGTGTCTGTGAGTGCAGAATTCTCAGATACTGAGAGAAATGAAAACAACTCTTGATTTCAGGTAGACTTCCCCATCACAGAATCCAACTGCGAACACGGAACACTAACACTAAAAGTACTGAAGAGGCCACCAGGTGAGTTTCCTCTGTACTTCTGTAACTCTATACTCTGGCACAAGGGCAGCAAATAGCAGCCTAACCACGCAAACGTGGTTTATCCCGACATGCACCTGCAGTTTTTCAAGTCTTTATACAAAAGAAGGCAAACACACACCACCTCCACTGACTGCAGAATGGGCAGAGGTGTGGCCAGGAAAGTACCAGAGGCCTGTGGAGGAAGTGAGGGCACCGGCACCCAGAACATTCCACGCACTTGGCGGCCCAGAGCTGGGCCCCAGGGTCTGACCTCTGTTCTTTCTTGTTTTGTTTGCCTTGAGCTGTGTTTCCCAGGTGCCAGGTCGGAGCGGAGAGGGACCCGTGATGCCAGTGTGGGTTCCCAGCACACGCGCACCTGCTCAGCCTGGCCTCCAGGCAGGCCGCCACTTGTCATTTCAAACCCACAGGCTGAGCACCTGCAGCCTCTGGGGTGGAAGTTCTACCAGGCCCCGTTTACTAAAACACACAAGCAAGGTGAGTTACAAGTGTGCAGATCATTTCTTCAGCTTCGACCAAAACACTGGAACACAGGACCAGCGTGCGTATGTGTTTTTAAAAATTCCTTTTGAGGATTTTTGGTTTTGTCAGATTTGCTTAAGCAGCCAGGACACCTGCTGCATACTCTACCACCTGCAGCTCTGTAGGTCTCGTCTCTAACCTGATGACCCCACGACCTCCGCTGGCTCCTGAAGGCTGGCCGCCAACCGCAGTCTCAGTGTCAGCGGAGCTGCCTGAGTGCCCGGGCGGTGGGCGCTCGGGGCAGGACCACGGCAGCCTCTGCAGAAGCCCCTGAGTTTCACCTGTACCAGGGAAGTCCGTTTTCATTTTTCCAATAATTTAAGATTCAGAGAAACCCTGTGAAAGTGACGTGGAGGGTCGCGGTACAGCTGCTGCACAGCTTCCCATAATACTAGAGTCAACCATAACCACGCCAGCAAAACCAACCCTTAGCTTGTTCGCACTGGTACTAGACTGTCTGCTTTCTCTGGTGTCACCCCCCTGCCACCTGGGTCTTCACTGCTGTCACTCCAGGACCCCGCCCAGGACCCCCGAAGTGCGTCCAGCTGTTGTGTCCCACTGCTTGGCGTTCCCTGTGCTTCTCTGAGCTTCCAGGGGCTCCTAACCTCTTGGGGTTCGGGTTCCATAAACAACGCTATGTTTACTGTCACCTTTCAATACTGCGGGTAGGTGGCGGTCTCGTCTTTCTTTCTAATCTTTTAATTCCAAAGCGAATCTTCTTCGAGTGGATACATCAACTTGACGAGTGGGGTGCAGTGACACAGAACAGGGAGAATGGTGTGGCACCTCCAAAGGGGGTGAAAACCATTCTGCCGCTGAACAGAATCCTCCCAACCTGATTCCCTGGAATGTTCTCACGGGGACACACACCAGAGAGCCAACAGACCACCTCCGCCAGGTTTCCACGCTTCACACATGAGAAAGCGAGCCCACGGCGAGTGAAATGAACAGAAAGGACCACTTGGACACCAATTCAGAGCATTTATTGACATTTCCATTTAAAATGCTAGGAAAGCAGTATAAATTGTAAACATGGAAACCAAACACTTGCATAAATTATTTCAAAAACTCTACAGCACATTAGAAAACAGTGCAGCTAGTTGGAGGGTAGAAACGTAACCGACAAACAGAGGGAGGTTCAGTTACTAAATCATACACCCACACTGAGATTTGAAGTGCCCGTTTGAGACCAGCAAACTGTGATTGTCAAGTTCAAGGTGCAGTACTGGTGCCACAAGGGGCCCGACTTGTTCTGCACATTTTCGTACCTTTAATGCTCATGATATAGGAATGAGGAAGCATGAGTCGGAAGAACATGGACCTAGACAGCGTAGGAGACAAGCCGGCACCCCAGGGCGGCTATGCTGAGCTGCCCCACCCCCAAAGTGGGGAGCTTGTCTCCTCCCCGCTGCTGAAGCCAGACCCCCGGGGCCTAGAGTGGCTTATTCCAGGGGTGGGGTCTCCACTCCCGAGTCCCCCTCCCTGCTTTTCCCACCTCTGCAGGAGGAACAGTACAAGGGGTTTCTGGCTTGAACTTGGCCTTGCACCATTCCCAACTCACACACTTACGGAGCCAAGTTATAAACACCTGAAATCTAGTGGGCACCAGCACAGACTCCTCGATGCTCCGGGGAGTCCAGAAGGCGCGCGTGCAGGCAGGGACCGGGGGCTCGGATCAGTCCTTCTCTCCATCCTCTCTCTCAGCACGAAGTCGCTCCACCCCGGAAACAAGGGCCGAGCCCGACAGCCACCGCCCTGCGTGAGCGCGTCTGAGCCAGAGCTTTCCTCACTTCCTCGCTGGTTCCTACCTCCTGTTTCTCACTTCCAGAGGCAGCCTATGTTCTCTCCCTCCATCTCAGTGCTGCTCTAGGCCTGTGAGATGACTGGTCAAGTGCACTGTCACCCACGCAGGCCTGGCAACGACATCGCACCGCGATGGAACAGTTTTTGTCTTTCACGCGGGAGAAAGGGGTCCTAGTGTGAAAACACCGACAACCATCGCCGGGGACGTCCAAAGAAACCTGACGTGCACACTCCTTGTTCCCTAGGTAACGAGTGCGAGTCTGTTCCACGAGCAAGTTCCAGCAGCCGCCGGTCAGAGCCCTCCCTTGTGACGAGAATGTGTGTCGAGTGGCAGATGACAGAACCGAAGCTCGAGCGTCCTGGCTCACGCGCAGTGGCCACGGGCACAGAGGTGGACTCTGCGCACTCCTGTCCCAGCCGCTGCCTTCGCGGCCTTGCTCTGGAGGTAGAATGGCGTGGCGAGACTCGACCGGAGCTGAGTTAGTGGGAGGGCTGAGACTGGAGCCCGCCTGCCTCCGTCTCTTACCAGCTCCCCTCTGGCCAAGATTCCCTCCTGTGGAAGACTCTGGGAGGAGAGGGTAAGGGAGCTTTGTTTAATGGTTAACTCGGGAGCAACGCCAGCACAGACCAGCTTCTGGGCGGAGCGCTCCAAGAGGCTGTGCAAATGCAGTCGGCAATGACCCTGTGCGTGCGGGCAGGAGACTCGGCAGCCCCCAGCCTCCGGGTGCACCTTGTTGACACTGACCCTGTGCGTGGGAATGGGAGACACAGCAGCCCCCGGCCTCCGGGTGTACCTTGTCGACACTGACCCTGTGCGTGGGAACAGGAGACTTGGCAGCCCCCAGCCTCCGGGTGCACCTTGTTGACACTGACCCTGTGCGTGGGAATGGGAGACACAGCAGCCCCCGGCCTCCGGGTGTACCTTGTCGACACTGACCCTGTGCGTGGGAACGGGAGACACAGCAGCCCCCGGCCTCCAGGTGCACCTTGTCGACACTGACCCTATGCGTGGGAACGGGAGACACGGCAGCCCCTGGCCTCCGGGTGCACCTTGTCGACACTGACCCTGTGTGTAGGAACAGGAGACACGGGAGCCGCTGGCCTCTGGGTGCACCTTGTCGACACTGACCCTGTGCATGGGGACAGGAGACACGGCAGCCCCTGGCCTCTGGGTGCACCTTGTCGACACTGACCCTGTGTGTAGGAACAGGAGACACGGCAGCCCCAGGCCTCCGGGTGCACCTTCCCGTGGACATTGTCACAAGCCTCATGCCCCAACATTCTGGCTGGCAAAAAAACTGCTGCTTAGAAGTCCTGAGCCTCCAAAATCAAAACTCAGTCTCAAATCCTATTGGAGAAGAGCACGCGGGCAGCTGAGAGGAGGCCGGGTGTGCTTATCCACAAGCCGCCCTGCTCCCGGCGGGTTCCACCCGGCCAGCGGCCGGCCACGAAGACCTGCTCTGAGCAGCGGCCCTGGGTGTGACGCTCAGGCCGGCTGTGCGCTTCCCCCAGCTCGTTCTCACGCTCACACGCGGCAGCTCTTCCTCTGGGCTTCACAGGCCCGGGCACTTCCTGGCTGCACCACTGTAGCTGGACCGTCCACAGCACCGCCTCCTCCTCCTCCTCTAACCTCCCTGAAGCGTGCAGTTCCCTAACCATCCCCAGGCCGCGACCAGAATCCAGCTCATCGTCAGCCCCCACCCCCACCTCGCCAGCTCACCCCTTCTCCATCAGAGTAGCTTCCGGAGCTGGAGTCTCCCCAGGACCCACCAGTTCCAAACGCCCGACTGCCCTTGCGCTCTGAGAGAGAACTCTGGACGTCTACACCTGTCACCCATCTGTGGGGCGTCGACTCTGCAGTCAGAAGGCAGGACTGTGTCCGCTGACTTGGCTGGTGCCAGACACGGCAGAACATCAGCGGCAGAGAGATGCCTCTAAGTCTGCTTTGGAGTTAGCGCAGGAGGAAGTGAACATGCGAAAATGCACCAGGCAGGGCCCTCAGCTGTGCTGGGGAGCCCTGTGTGACCCCTCCAGGGGGGACTGCACATGGCCGGCCCAGGGCGTTCACCCAGACGCATTCTTCGTGCTCTCTCCACGCGTGTCTGCGCACACGGCCACATCTGATTCTCCACGCGTGTCCGCGCACACGGCCACGTCTGATTCTCCACGCGTGTCCGCGCACACGGCCACGTCTGATTCTCCACGCGTGTCCGTACACACGGCCACGTCTGATTCTCCACGCGTGTCTGTACACACGGCCACGTCTGATTCTCCACGCGTGTCTGTACAAACGGCCACGTCTGATTCTCCACGCGTGTCTGCGCACACACGGCCACGTCTGATTCTCCACGTGTGTCTGTGCACACAGCCACGTGATTCTCCACGCGTGTCCGCACACACGGCCACGTCTGATTCTGCCACCAGAGACGTGGGAGGTGGGCAGAGGAGAACGCGGCCGGGGAAAGAACCCTGCAGTGAGCCGGTGACGCGCACGGCGGCCAACAGTCGCGCTCCCATCTCCGCTGAAACACCGGCTCAAACGTGTAGTTCGCGTCACCTCCAGGTCCTTGAGAAGCGCAGAGCAGCCGTACACGCTGGCTTTTCACTTCAGGTTCATCCGTGAACGGAGCCCCAAAGCCACGCGTGGCCGGCACGGGGGCCGCATCCACCGAGCTGCCTCCTGCCCGCGTGCTGGCGAGCCTGCCTGGCAGGTGTCTGGGGAGCCAAGTGCAAGGCCAGCGTGCTCTGCACTGCTCGCGTTGGTCTCACACCCGTGTGGAGGCGCGCCAGCTGTAAGGATGAAAGCGCAGGTGGACCCCCTACCGTCCTCCTGCAGAGCGGGTCGCTGTTCCATCAACCCCCCGTGGAGACACACCGCTCCCACGCACTCCGCGCAGACGCTCCAGGAACTGGGCGGAGCGGGGGCAGCAGCCATTCAGCCCACTGGCCGCAGCGTGGCTCCAGCGCACATCAGGTGTCCCTAAGAGAACCCGCAGGCGGACCTGAAGCTCAGCAGGAAGGACAGACTCAGGAGCCCAGGCAGCTTCGGAGTGATCGCCAGACGCCTCTGCGTGGGGAGAGTCTGCTATGAGACCCAGACTGAGGAGGTAGCGAGAGGGGCTTCTCTCCCCGGCCCGTGCGAGCCTCTGAGGACTGCCCAGCACAGCCCCCAGCCCTGGTTAACATTCTCGAGAATACTCCCCTGCACCCCTGCACTTCAGAGGAGAACACGTGGAAGCTGGCTACACCTGTTCTTCCCAGCAGCCCCGTGCCCTGTCAGCGGCAAGCCTGCAGGGCACCCTGGGTTGAGGACGTGCTGAGACACGAGCCTGGAACCAGCGACTGCACCTCCGATGCCCACTGAACCATTCCAGGGGCCTCAAAACCCAAGCCCCAAATGCTAGCGGTGTGCCTGTTGTTTAGTTAAAGTATGAGTCGATCTCATAAAGAGGCTCAGGGCGGGTATCTCTTCTCTAAGCCTGCTCTCCTGTTGCACTCAGACACCAGGAAACACACCAGCTCTTGTCACCACATTCCGCACCCAAGTGGGGAACTGTCTGCTCTGGAGTAACCCTAAGCCACACAGTCTGCCCTCCCAGGCCCGGAATAAGACCGGAAGTGCGCAGGAGCAGCTGCTGCTCTGCCCCGTCTCAGCGCTGCTCCTGCCCCTTCCCGCCTGCTCGCGCGAGGCTGCACGGAACTCAGGTCTCGACTACGGGGGTGCGCTCATCGAGAATGGGGCGGCTCTGGATTCTTAGGAAGCTTGTTTGCTGACAGGAGCTTCCTCATTCAAACGCAATCGCGAGCACATCGCCAGCCGAGCGCAAGGCTGGGGCGGGACCTCCCGTGCAAGCGGGGGTGCAGCCAGGCACTGCCCGTGCCCAATCATGACACAGCAGATACAACGGAGAAAGCAAATCTAAACTTCAATGTGTATTTCGAATAATAACCAAATAAATATGAGCCCCTCCCCAAGTTGTGTTTTTTCCTAGAACAAAATGGAACCTCCAGCGTGTTCCTCCAGGGAAGAGCCGGAGCTGCGTGTCGCGGGTGTGAAGGGGGAGTGGCCCTGGCAGCTGCAGCACCAGGTGCAGGAGGAGGAGCGCAGCGATGGCTTCGTCTGAATCATCAGGCTCCACGACCCACCGTTTGGTTTCTCACCAGTAGCTTACAAAAAATCCCCACCAGCTTTAGGATTCTGGTTGTTAATGTTCCTATCAAAACAAGTTCCTACGGAGAGAAGGAGGGCATCGGAGCTGTTGAGGAAACGTCTTGGAACTCCCTTCTCAGGGAACAAAGCGGCAGGTGCGTCCACAGCCCCACGGACACCCGGATTCCCTGAGCCCGCGCCACCACGCATCTCACTCCGCTGCCTGTCAAAAGGACACTAACGCACTACTTCTCTTAGCTCAGGTCTGCCTTGTGTTTTTGTGAAGTGCCGCTGGCTTCTGGCCAAAAGCGAGTACATTTCCACCGAACCCAAGGGAGCGCAGAGCGCGCCACGAGAAGCGGCGTGAGGTGTCCTGGGACGGCTGGCATCTTCCGAAACCGCAGCCCGTTCCCTTCCTCGGGCGGCTCGCGGGAGACGCTCCCTCCGCCCCGAGCGCCCGCTCGGCCGGCCTCCTGCTCTGCTTCCACGGGAAGCGGATACTCGCGAGGGCGCACGCGCCCATCAGCTGTGGAAGTTCTGCACGGGGCTCTGTCTCTGGGACAGGCGGAGCAGCTCCTCGCGGATGGCTTTGATGAGGGAGGCGGAGGAGTGGCCGGGCTGCAGGTCTTCCGTGGAGCTGGCCGGGTAGGCCAGCCCCGCGCCCTGCGGCCCCCGGTGGGGGAGGTTCCCCGGAGGAGCGGAGGGCTCCCTGCCTGAAGTCCTTGGCACCTGCAACAGCGGCGAGGAATACTCCTGGCGTCCGAGCAAGTGGGTCTGAAAAACACGGCAGACGTTACTGTGCCTCCCGCACGCGAACAAGAGGGAGCGGCCGCGCTCCGGGGCCCCTCTGCCCACCGCCCGCCTCCCAGCCCAGCCGAGCCTGGCCCCGGTGCCGCTGGGTGCGCGGCGGCACTGAGGGCCCGAGCTGACCGCGTGCAGACAGGTCAGCCGGGGACAGCCGGGAGCCCGCCGAGGGCGGAGGGCTGCGGCACTGCCCAGCGTGGCCGCCCTGGGATCCGGGCGAGCTGTGCGCGGGGCCAGGCAGCGCCGCCGGCTCAGAGAACACGTTCTGTCTCAGCTGCCACCTGCCTTGTGGTCCGTGCTGTCTAGAGCGCTCCTTGGAGTCTCTCCCTTAACAAGCTGTCTGCGCTAAAGTGGACAACAATTTTGCTAATGTTTGCAGACCACAGATTAATCTGTCATCCACTTAACAAAAATGATTACATTTCAGTAACTTTTTAAAAAAGTATTTTTCCAGTGGGGGGGTTCTCTTGTGTATATGAGTGTACTTCAAAAAGCTCATGGAAAAACAGAATGAAAAGGTAAGTTTATTTTAGGATAAAATTTTTGAAATCCGTGCATAATTTTCTCTGAGAACACACACTTCCATGGCCCCTTTGAAACCTTCACACGCATGCAGGTACTAAGTCTGTGTGCTGGGTTGGTGCCGTGCTGCAGCTCTCGGTCCGTGACGAGGACCTGCTCCACAGCGAACAGCACCAGGCTGCACGGGAGAACGCTTCACAAAGCTGAGCCAGGCACAATGGAGGCAGAGGAAGAAGGCCATGCACGGGCTCGGTGCAGACACCAGATTACAGGGGCACGAATGTCTCTTTCAGGGGCTGGCATGGGCAGGGCGGGTTACACTGCCCCCTGCAACCCCAGCATCCCACACTGAGCACTGGTCCGAGTCGCAGCTGCTCTGCTTCCGATCCAGAACCCTGCTGATGCACCTGGGAAAGCAGACGACGGCCCAGGTACTTGGACCCCTGCACCTGCGTAGGAGATCCGGATGGAGTTCCAGGCTCCTGGTTCCAGCCTGGACAGCACTGGATGTTGTGGCCATTTGGAGACTGAGCCAGTGGATGGGATGCCCCCCACCCCGTTATTCTGCCTCTCAATTAACTGTTAATTAATGAATCATTTTTGAAAAGTCTTCTTTAGGAAAAATCACATTGCACAGTCAATATCCTTCCAGAGTGCAAGCGTTCAGTCGTGGCAGGACTGCATGTGTCTGCTGGGGCGGCAGAGAAAGAAGGGAAGGGAGAGATGACAGGGACCCTTGGGGTTGCTTTTTAAATTTTTTTAAATGGGGGGGGTGGGTTTTCTATCCACTGGTTCACTCCCCAATGGCTGCAACAACCAGAGCTGCGCCGATCCGAAGCCAGGAGCTTCTTCCAGGTCTCCCACGCAGGCGCAGGGGCCCAAGGACTTGGGCCACTTTCTACTGCTTTCCCAGGACATAGCAGAGAGCTAGATGGGAAGAGGAGCAGCTGGGACTTGAACCGGCACCCATATTGGATGCCGGCACTGCAAGTGGTGGTCTTACCCACTATGCCACAGCACCAGCCCCTGGGCTTGCATTTTTAAACCTCATTAATGCATCGCCTGGTGCAGAATTCTCGGGAAAAAACCAAGGAAAGCAGTTGAAGAAATTACCTGTGTCCACACTGAGAGATTAGAAGCCGCAGAAAGGATACCTGTGCCTTAGAGTGCCCGTGGTGGTGCGAATAGAAATGGCGACAATAAACACACAGGGAGACAGGGAAGGGCGGGAGGACTTACTGGTCACACCAAAGTCCAGAGCTCAGTCACCTACAGGTCAAAATTCACTGCTTAAAGCCTGAAGTCGGCCCCAGCAAAACCTGCACACTTCATTTCTGCAAAACGTGATGTCAACTCCCTCCCACAGTGGGCGGGGCGAGAACTCAGCGGGCAGGGTCCTGGCCTGCTGGTTCCGACGCCAGGCGAGACACCTGTGTCCACGTCAGAGGACCTGGGTCCCACACCTGCCCGCAACTCCCGAGCAGCTTTCTGCTAACGCAGACCCCAGGAGGCAGCAGTCAGCTCCCTGCCTCCCACACGGGAGACCTGGACGGAGCTCCTGGCCCCGGCCGACGGGGCGTCTGGGGAGTGAACCAGCAGATGGGAGCTCTCTCTGTCCCTCTCCCTGATAAACTGTTTTAAATAATATTAAAAATTGGAAACTACAAGGAAAAACACGTGAGGGGAAAACAGTGAGGGTGAAGAACTTGCCTAAAGTTTCAGAAATGATTCCAAAGCAGAAACAGCTAAATGAGAAAGTACGTCTGAGCGTTAACCGATGGCCCCAGCAGAAGATACTCACGGCCTCTCTCCGTGCTGCCTCGTCCTCCCCGTACGCGGGCCAGCCTGGGCCCCCGAACTGGCTGCCTCTGCCTGGGGGGACTTCCACGGGCTGGGCTCCAATTCTGCTGGCGATTCCCACCTGCGTCAGGTGCTGGATCTGGGAGCCTGGAAGGAATGTGGTCGGAGGGGCCCGGTTAACACTTCTAGAACGAGGCGTCAGCTCTGACAACCAACCCCGTTAAGGACGATGGATGGCAAGCACGGCTCAAACACAGCGCTAGCTCTGTCTCCAAGAATGACACACAGTAGCACACACAGAGTAGCACACACGCACACACATATGTACACACATAAACACACGTGCACATAAACACACGTGCACATGTGCGCGCGCACACACGTGCTGAGCTTCTGGGTTCTTGGGCTTCGATTTCCTTTCAGTAGAAGCTCACACCGGGGCTCTTACTTTCCTGGCTAGACACCAAAGGACTAGGGACATAAGATGTCCCAGGGAACGTGTGCTCCTTTCTGCAGGTTACCGACCAGGACGGCCTTGCTTCTTTACAAGGAAGGTGAGAGACACCGGGAGCCATCAAGATGAAACCCGGCTCCCTCTCGCCTGAGGCTTTGAGATCCCAAGGAGCTCAACTTGGGGGGCTCTCTCCCCAGGAGGCAGGTGTGTGAACTGGTGGGGGCTCTCTCCCCAGGAGGTGGGCTGTGTGAACTTGGGGGGGTTCTCTCCCCAGGAGGCAGGCTGTGTGAACTGGTGAGGGCTCTCTCCCCAGGACGCAGGCTGTGTGAACTGGCGGGGGCTCTCTCCCCAAGAGGCAGGCTGTGTGAACTGGGGGGGCTCTCTCCCCAGGAGGCAGGCTGTGTGAACTGGCGGGGGCTCTCTCCCCAGGAGGCGGGCTGTGTGAACTTGGGGGGGTTCTCTCCCCAGGAGGCAGGCTGTGTGAACTGGCAGGGGTTCTCTCCCCAGGAGGCGGGCTGTGTGAACTGGTGGGGGCTCTCTCCCCAGGAGGCGGGCTGTGTGAACTGGGGGGGCTCTCTCCCCAGGAGGCAGGCTGTGTGAACTGGGGGGGCTCTCTCCCCAGGAGGCGGGCTGTGTGAACTGGGGGGGCTCTCTCCCCAGGAGGCAGGCTGTGTGAACTGGGGGGGCTCTCTCCCCAGGAGGCAGGCTGTGTGAACTGGCAGGGGCTCTCTCCCCAGGAGGTGGGCTGTGTGAACTGGAGGGTTCTCTCCCCAGGAGGCGGGCTGTGTGAAGGGGGGGTTCTCTCCCCAGGAGGTGGGCTGAGTGCACTGGTGGGGGGGGGCTCTCTCCCCAGGAGGTGGGCTGTGTGAACTGGTGGGGGCTCTCTCCCCAGGAGGCGGGCTGTGTGAACTGGCAGGGGCTCTCTCCCCAGGAGGCGGGCTATGTGAACTTGGGGGGGTTCTCTCCCCAGGAGGCAGGCTGTGTGAACTGGGGGGGCTCTCTCCCCAGGAGGCTGGCTGTGTGAACTGGGGGGGCTCTCTCCCCAGGACGCAGGCTGTGTGAACTGGCAGGGGCTCTCTCCCCAGGAGGCGGGCTGTGTGAACTGGGTGGGGGGGCTCTCTCCTCAGGAGGTGGGCTGTGTGAACTGGGGGGTTCTCTCCCCAGGAGGCGGGCTGTGTGAAGGGGGGGTTCTCTCCCCAGGAGGTGGGCTGAGTGCACTGGTGGGGGGGCTCTCTCCCCAGGAGGCGGGCTGTGTGAACTGGCAGGGGCTCTCTCCCCAGGAGGCAGGTGTGTGAACTGGCAGGGGCTCTCTCCCCAGGAGGCAGGCATCGGGCTCCTGATGGCACAGCTTCATGGATGCAGCCTCCTCTGTGGGGTGCCTGCCGCCAGAGCCGGGCCTCCCACACCTGCACACCCAGCGCCTGCCTGGCCGCCAGACTCAGAGCAAGGCAGACAAAGGCGGCCTTTGAGTACAGGCAAATGAAAAACTGTTTCCAAACCTGGAGTCCTCCGAGCCCTCCGTGATGCTCAGACAGGTCCTGCACGGGGTGAGAGCGCTCACGGGGTTGGGGTGGGGCAGCTCTCCCCTCCTTTGGGCCCCTCCTACTCCAGCAGTCTACACAGCCTCAATCCAAACAATCAGATGATTTAAAACCGAGAACTGCACAGCTTTACAGCGGAGACTGATGGTCAGGGGAGCTGGCCAGGCTCTCCGGAGCCGAGTATCCTGCCGGGGCGCCGGGCAGCGCCGCTGGCTCAGCAGACGCTGGAGCTGCACCTGCCGCGCTCCCCAGGCCTGTGAGGTGCAGCCGCCTGCGGGGGAAGAGCACGCCTTCCGCATCATACGACTCAGACACGACTTTGCATCCTGCTTTGTTCACTTAGTGGCAGACTTCCCTGACAGCAACCCTCAGGCCGCTGCTGAGCAGGCTGAGCTGGGGCCCTGGGCCTCTAGTCCCCACTGCTGCCAGGGGTACTCAAAAACCCTGCCACCGAGGGCTGGGTCAGGATTAACAGAGACGAAACAGATGAGGTACGGAGCGGGAGAGGGGACAGGTGAACCTTAGCTTCCCTTTGCTGGTGCGTCTTGACTTCATTGCAAACAGCTGCAGACTTTATCCACTGAGCTCCTATGACTGCGTGTTCAGGGCGTCCACGGCTGTTTGTTGCTATTATGAATACTGCTGTAATAAAATCTGGCACGTGTGGTCCCCCCCCCCATATTTTATATTTGGGGAGAGGCAGTCTGGACTCCCACAGCGGAATTACCAGGTCGGGGGCTCATGAACGAGTCCTACTGCCAAATGCTTTCCAAAAGCTTAGCGTTTTATGCCGCCACTGGAAATAATGATGATGATAATGATAATAATCAAGACGGCTTGTATTTATTGGAAGCTTACGACCTGCCAGGCACTATTTGGGGCACTTTATCTTCTGTGATTAGCAAACACTCACAGAGGCACGGAGCACCAGCCCCACTGCACGTGCGAAGGAGCCACATGCTAATTTCACCACGCCACATTATTATGAAAAGAACATCATGACTGAAACGTGGCCTCTGTGGTCTGCATTTGCCTTTCTTTAACCATTTTCAAAACTGGGCTTTTTCCTTGTTCGTGTTTATAACACACACACTTACACACACACACGCACAGGTTTCTTTAGTGAATTCTTTCTTCCCACCCTTTGCTGGTTTATCAATTTATACAAACTGTCCTCTGTAATAAAAACATTTCTTGGTCATAATCCACTGTACACTTTCCCCAGGAGTATTTTTCTTTCTGTTCTTGGTCATACACACACACACACACACACACACACGTACATACATTTGATAGTTTTCTATAGTCATAAAGGCCTCTAATAGGTCTTAACACTTCCCAGTACAAATTTTTATCCAGTTTCCTCTCTTACTCTTAGAAATTATTAGAAAGTAACTTCCTCTCCAAACGTGTGAAACAAGCAATTCCTACGTGTCTAGTTTTCCAAACAAAGTTAGTTCACTGTTGAGTGTACAAGCGGCGCAGCAAGCTTCCCGCGTGCAGCCATGGGGGCGAGCAGGAGGGCATGGAGGGGCAGGACAGCTCTTCGCTTTGACTGACAGACGACGGAGAACACCAGAAGAGCCCAGAAGGCGTGGGAGCTGTGCACAGCCACTAAGACCCGGCTCGGGTTGCCGGCATCCGCGCTGGAGTGCCTGGTTCAGTCCAGGACCTCTGCGTTTGTCCAGCTTCCGGTTCATACACGCCTGGTGAGGCAGCAGGCAGGCCCAGTACTTGGGTCCCTGATGCCCACCTAGGAGACTGGGATAGAGTTCTGGGCTCTTGGCGTGGGCCTGGCCCAGCCCTGGCTGTTAATATCTGGAGAGTAAACTAGCAGGTGGAGAGCTCTCTCTCTCTCTCTCTCTTTCGTACAAATAAATATGAGAATAAAAGGCCACAATGGCCTACACTGCCTCCTGGATGGCATTTTAAAGGTGTACACCATCCTCCAGAAAGTTAGACAGCAGCAAAATAAATGGTTTAACATGCAGCGGCTCCTTTCACTGAAGCTTCAGTCTTCAAGGAAGCCGAGGAAACGAGTGGGGCAAACGGAAGGGCGCGCGTTTATAATAAAATGCACCATGAAGTAACAGCAAACTCCAGGCACCGTCCAAAGCATGCAGAGCTGTACAGAGCCAGAAAGAACTCGGATCTGAAGCTACCGTCGTTCCGGGAGCGTGGGGTGGCGATCAGAACCCCAGTGCTACAGCGGCAGCTGTCAATGAGCTGCTTTTATGAAACGGAAGACGCTCATCTCTCATCTGGGGGGACAGATCTGAATCTCGGGACGCTGCTGAGGCACACCAGCCCAGCGCCAGAACAGCCTCAGGCCTGCCTGGCCGGGCCTGCGTGTCCACTCCCGGGCACTGGTCCTCACTAGGGCTTGGAACGCGTTTCTCAGCGTTTGCACGTACATTTCTGTTGGGCCAATCAGAGGAATCCAGGTGCACTTGCCAAGATCTCAGGACACATCAGTCACAAACAGCACGCATCGACTGAACCTGGGGAGGATTCGCTCTGCGCTGAACACAGACCCCCCAGGAGACCCCATGACAAATGTTTCTTTCTCATCTCCTCATCTTCTAGCAGTAAATTTGTTCCTAATCTAATCGGGGACACGCAACTCAGAAGGCACTATCACTCCCTTTCTGCTTTACCAAGGCTGGCAAGGCCCCTCCTTCTCACACCAGGAGGCAGAGGCGGGACACGAACCCAGACGCTGCAACGTAGGGCGCAGGCAGCCCAAGCGTGGCTCACCGCTGAACCACAGCACCTGCTCCCCCTCCTCTCTGATTCCATTTTCCCATGAACTTCTGGAAGTCTCCTTGTACCTTTGTAAGTAAATCAAATTATGCAACATGTTTCTTAAAGCAATGCAATAAAAATATTTTAGAATTTTCTGAAAACCATTTTCTCATTGGTGTCAAGATTTCCAGAACTATGTTCACTTAAAAACAAAGCCAGGAACTTCTTCCTACTGGAGACATTCTGGTATGGATTTTTAATTAAGCATTACAGGTAATAGAAGGGAAATCCTTGAAATACTGCACGAACGCTTGTTTAATGCCATGCCAAGTGCTCTGACGCGGGTCTCGTTACTCTAAGAGTGGGAAGTGTTCTGGGGGATGAAGTGCACTGTGAATCCCACGGGAAGGGGCTCACTCAGGAACACACCGGCCGCAGGGGTCTCGGCCGCCTCCCTTTCCACCCCCCCCACCTCGCTGAGACTCGGCGAAGCCTAAGACAGTGTTCAGATGCAGCCCCAAAGCCCGTCCTGCAGCTCAGAAACACACGCTCAGCCCACACAGGTACCTGTGGTGCTGCCCACGGGCCGAGGCCGGGCTGCCGCGGGCCCATCGTCTGCGTAGATCCCTCGGGCAGCAAACGGAGCTTCAGCCGACGCCTGTGGCTGCTGGGGGTCGGAGGCCCCCAGCTCTGAAGGCTGCAGCAGTGCGGGGCCGAAGCTTGGCCTGAAAGCAAAGCACAGCCAGGCGTCAGGACCACGCCTCGCCCTGGCCCCACAGGAGACTGAGACACCTCTCACGCATCTCTCCCGGCCTCTTCCTGTCCGCCCACTAGCTAACTCTGACACTAGGGACAAACCTTGGCTGACGATCGGACACCTCTCTCTGTGAACAAAAAGCAAGAAGGGGTGTTCTAGCTTCCTGACAGACAGGTGGCACGGCCGAGTCCCGGGCCTGCTCATCTGTGGCAGCTGACCAAAGCCTTGGTTCTCAGCGTTGGCTCTGCATGACCAGCCCCAGGGAGCTTTCAAAACTCCCGATGGCCACGCTGCAGCCAGGCCAGCCCGCCCGGATCCTGGCACACCTCGGCCGACACTGCCGTCCACCACGGCTGTGCACCAGTGTGCCCAGGCGGTGGCTCTCGCTCTGACCCCCTTCAGACTCCCTGGAATCACTGGGCTTCCATGCACATGGGCTTTATCTCTTAATAGTTACACCATTAGGAATTAACATTGAGCAAGTTTTTAAATACTTAAAACATGGAAAAATAACCGTATCAATCTTATATACAGATAACACACGCTTTTCATGAAATCAACTGCATTCTCCGACCTCTCTCCCCGACACCAGCGGAGGGCTGACCCACCCTTCCGCCTGCTGACCACAGACAACTAGGCGCCCACACTTCATACTGGTCGGGGCCCGGCGCTACTTCAGGAAGAACATCTGCCCTCACAGAAGACAAGCGTGGAAACTGAGGAGGTTTTCATCAACGTTTCAGATGGTGTCAACTGATATGTCAGCCTTTCCCGACACAGCTCCAGCACCCAGCAAGTGGCAGCCCCAAGCATTACTGCAAACAGCGCCGAGGGTTTCAGACTGCCCCCGAAACCCCTGCTCTGCTGTGCACTTCTGAGCGGCTCTGATCTCACCCCCGCAGGACTCGGGACACTTGCCATCGGGGAAATACCACACCAAGTTACACAGATCTTCTAGATAACGGATGCATTTCCTGTTACAGCATCAGGAGTCTCAACCCTGGGGCCAGGCGCTGCGGTGCAGCGGGTGACGCCGGCTGCCACCTACGGTTCCTGTCCCGGCTGCTCCACTTCCAATCCAGCCCCCTGTAATGCAGCTGGGACAGCAGTGGAGGATGGGCCAAGAGTTCAGGCTCTGCCACCCCCAGGGGAGACCCGGATGGAGCTCCTGGCTCCTGGCTCAGCCCTGGCCTTTGCAGCCATCTGGGGAATGAGCCAGGGGATAGAGGATATCTGTCTCTCTGTCTCTCTCTCTCTTTCAAATCAATAAATAAGTTTGTTTTTAAAAACCCCTCATTCACTACTCGCACCTCCAAGCTCGTGCGGGAAAGCTGGGGGATCCAGGGAGCCACCTGGGGCTTTGCCCGACTTCTCAGCCGCTCAGCCGTGTCCTCCAGAACCAGCAGACTCGAGAACAGGGGCGCCGGGCAGGGCTCCCCTCTGCGGGTTCCTGGGCCTTGGCTCGCGACTGCTACGCCGCCGTTAGCTCCTGGGGGCGGGGGGGTGTCTGCTTCGGTCTTAACAGCTTGTCTAGCCCTCCCAGCAGTGTTCCAAGGAGCGCTCAGCCAGGCGAGCTGGTCAGCCTGTCACTTCTGGACACAGAATTAGACTTCAACTTTCCCCGTTAGAGCAAGGGACAGTCAACTGCGTCTGTGCATCTCAGCTAAGAAAAATGAGTCCACAAACTTAAGGTAAAGAAAACCAGCCCACGCGAGACAGGCAGGTCACATCCGTTCTGGAAGCCTTACCGTGGCAGCGGCCCTGAAGGAGGAGTCATTCCATAGTCCTCGTATCTCTGGAAGAAATTGGAAACAACATGAAGATCAATGTCCACTACCACGACAAAGTGACAACAGCAAACCACACATGCGAGCTCGCAGCGACTTCCAAGAGAACTCTCTTCTCATCGGAACAGCCTGCGCCGGGTCACTGGCCACCAAGCGCCGCCAGGTGTGGGAGCTGGGCTTCCGGGCCTCAGAGTAACACAGCTCATTTCCAGATCTTCCCTGCCCATGTGAGACAGGCAGGCTCCTTCTCCGCAAACCTGGGCCTCTGATAAAAAGGCAGGCTGAGAGGCCACACCGACAAGTGACTGCAAACACAAGTCGCACGGTGACCACTTGCAGCTGTGTCCGGCAGAAATGCAAAGCCTGCAGACACGACATCGTCAAGTGCTGCTGTCCCTGCAGAGCGCCGCAGAACAAGACGCGGGCAGCACCTTGTCGCTCCCCGTCTTCGTGGAGGAACGACACAGGACCCTGCGCTGTTCTTTCGTCTGCTCGGCCCTCCCCGGGTTTGCTGCTGGTTCTTCCCGGGTTGGCTACTATCCCTTCCACCTCCGTGGAAGGGCAGTTCCCCCTGGCCACATTCCCCACTTCCGCAGGGGAGCGGCACACCGCCGGCCGGCTTTCTCGGGGGCTGCACGGGTTCCCTTAGATGTTCCCCATAGATGCTCCTGGTGCATGCCGTCTCTCTCCTCCTTTATAGTCCTCCTCCGCCAATCCCAACTCGGCTGCCCACACGCCGAGTACGCTGCTCTCCAATCAGGAGCAAGTCCTACAGTTAATTGGTTGAACTGGAGGCAGCTGTGCGGAAGCTGTTTACTTCTCTCCCAGCGCCATATTGTGGGAGAGCAGATGCATAGAATAAGTCTTAATTCCAGTAACTCAGTCCAGTCCGGATTGCTCCCCACAGATCCCCCTTTCTTTTTATTTTTGGCGTTGATACGCGCCTGTCTTCGGTGTCCCGCGGCACACACTCTGCTCTACTTGCTAGAGTTGCCACAGGCTCTTACAAGTCCTATCAATCAGGCAAACCGAATCCGGGTCCTCTCTTCGCCATGTTGTGAGGAGGTTTTTAGGCGCTGATGCGTGTCTGTGTTCGGTGCCCTGCAGCGCATGCTCTGCTCTGCCTGCAGGGGACTTACAAGACCTATCAGGCAAACCGAATCCAAGCCTTCTCATTGCCTTATTGTGGGGGAGACTTATTAGTGTTGGTTCGTGCCTATCTTCGGTGACCTGCAGCTCATACTCTGGTCGAGCTGCTTGCTGGCGCTTACCGCCTTAAATCAGGCAGACCGAATCCAAGCCTCCTAATTGTTGCATTGTGGGGAAGCTTTACTGATGTTAATTCGTGCCTGTCTTCGGTGACCTGCGGTGCATAAGCTGCTAGCTGCCCGCAGGTGCTCATCGCCTCACTTGATTAGGCAGACCGAATCCAAGCTCTCACATTGCAGTGTTGTAGGGAGGCCTTTTTATTTCTCTATTTCTCTATCTCCGGGCATTCCTATTTCTCCCATTTTACTTCTATCTTCCAGCATTCCTATTTCTCTCACTTTACTTCTAAAACTTCTGTTTCTCTTATCCCTGCGGCTTCCCGGCTGCGCCTGCCCCGAGGCTGCTTCTCGGCAGCTCTCCGGCTCTGAGCCGCTTCAGCCCGCGCCTCTTTCATCTGCGCAGCTTCCCGGCTTTGCGCGGCTTGGCTTCGCGCGCTCCGCGGTCTCCACGCCCTTCGCGTCTGCACCACGGCCTCGAGCCAGCCCCGCGTTCCCTATTTATTCACGCCCCGTGCTCTCTCTGCACGCGGCAGCTTCCGCGAATGTTTCCGCCACCACCGGCATTCAGTCCAAGTTCCCCGGACTAACCTGGCGAATTTCAACCTGGCGGCCCACGTCTCTGCCTCTGGTTCCAGATCTTCGCCTCTTGCTCCCCGGGGTGACTTGAAGAATTCCAAGGTGGCTTATATCTCCGCCTCGGCCTGCACTCGCGGCTTCATCCTCCCTAACATTTTTCTCTACCCGGTATGTTTCCTTAAGTTTTCTTCCAACAATATTCCTCTCATTTCTCCTGGCTACTCCCCACAGTCCGTATCCGAGTCCAAGCCTCCTCCAGGTTTCACTTTCGCTTTCAGTCTCCTAGCTTCCCCACCATAGTCCGCATCCGAGTCTATGAAAGCTTTCACTTTCGCTTTCAATCCTAACTTCTTTCCCACAGTCCATATCCAAGTCTATGCCTAGGCTTTCAATAGCTTCTTCCGGCACCTTTCTCGTCCGGCTTTCCCCTAGGCTCTTCGCTAATCTCTCTCTCCGGTATTTTCCTGCTTCTTCCCGTTTCTTCCCTCCTAAGTTTCCTATCCGTCCTAGGTTTCTTATCCGAGTCACGGCACCATTATGTCGCTCCCCCTCTTCGTGGAGGAACGACACTAAACCCTGCCTAGGCTTCATATCCGAGTCACGGCACCATTATGTCGCTCCCCGTCTTCGTGGAGGAACGACACAGGACCCTGCGCTGTTCTTTCGTCTGCTCGGCCCTCCCCGGGTTTGCTGCTGGTTCTTCCCGGGTTGGCTACTATCCCTTCCACCTCCGTGGAAGGGCAGTTCCCCCTGGCCACATTCCCCACTTCCGCAGGGGAGCGGCACACCGCCGGCCGGCTTTCTCGGGGGCTGCACGGGTTCCCTTAGATGTTCCCCATAGATGCTCCTGGTGCATGCCGTCTCTCTCCTCCTTTATAGTCCTCCTCCGCCAATCCCAACTCGGCTGCCCACACGCCGAGTACGCTGCTCTCCAATCAGGAGCAAGTCCTACAGTTAATTGGTTGAACTGGAGGCAGCTGTGCGGAAGCTGTTTACTTCTCTCCCAGCGCCATATTGTGGGAGAGCAGATGCATAGAATAAGTCTTAATTCCAGTAACTCAGTCCAGTCCGGATTGCTCCCCACACACCTGTAGCTTCTGATGCTCTCTGGCTCCCAGGCACCCACCAGACTGGCCCCCTCGGGCTCCACAGTGCAGCCCCAGGTCCCACCCAGCCAGACTGGCCACCCTGGGTTCCACAGTGCAGCCCTGGGTCCCACCCAGCCAGACTGGCCGCCTCGGGTTCCACAGTGTGATCCCGGGGTCCCATCCAGCCAGACTGGCCGCCTCGGGTTCCACAGTGCAGCCCTGGGTCCCACCCAGCCACACTGGCCCCCTCGGGCTCCACAGTGCGGCCCTGGGTCCCACCCAGCCAGATTGGCCCCCTCGGGCTCCACAGTGTGATCCCGGGTCCATCACGCAGCTCCTTTCACGTGCGCTCGTCTGAACACATCCAGGGCTCTCAGATGAGAACGCGCCACACGATGTACCAGACACACACATCTAAGAAAGCTCAGCACATCCGGGCCCTCACACGCTGGGACTCTCGTCTCCACCGTGAGCCAGGATGCTGGGAGCAGATGACTCGGCAGAACAGCAACTCGGGCTCCAGCCCACCACGGCCCAGTGGGAACGCCCGCGGGCGTCAGCCGGGCTTCTGCAGCGCCCCACTGTCAGAGCCTTCTTTCTAAGGCCGTCAGGTACTGATCCCGTTAGTGTTAAGCGCTCCGTTAGAGCTAACTCAGGCCCCGAGTAATACTGAAAACCCGACTGCCGATGGCGGCGGGGGCTCCTCCTCGAAGACTTTCTGACCCTGAAGAGCTCGCTCTTCCCCACCCCACACTGCTCGATTCTCAAAATCAGACTTTGCTCTTGAACAAATCCCCGCCCTGTGACGGGAGAAAGGACACACTGGGGGCAGGCTGGCCAGATCCCCGCTTCCCCGGGCCTGTTTACACAGGAACAGGGGGTCTCTGCACTGCAGGGAGCCCTGATGAACAGTGAACAGAGCTGCACGCCTCTCCCCTGCTGCATTACAGGTGCCAGGCGGAGATAGGGCGCCCTGGTTCCATGGCGCACGCCCAGGGAAAAGGTGGAACACATTAGGATTCCCCTGTGTCCAGGTACTCACTTTAGAGAGGACACATCCACATAAGAGTCTGGGGAACAAAACTGAAAGTTTCAATCAGCTGTGGCCTGCACTGTGGCATAGCAGATTAAGCCTCCACCTGTAATGCCAGCATCCCATATCGGCGCTGGTTCAAGATGGGGCTGCCCCACTTCCCATCCAGCGCCCTGCTGATGCGCCTGGGAAAGCAGCAGAGGACGGCCAAAGTCCTTGGGCCCCTGCACCCACATGGGAGACCTGGAAGAAGCTCCAGGCTCCCAGCTTCAGCCTGGCCCAGCCCCAGCTGTTGTGGCCATTCAGGGGGTGAAACAGCAGATGGAAGATTTCTCTCTGTCTCTCCTCTCTCTGTAACTCTGCCTTTCAAATAAATAAAAAAGAAATCTTAACAAAAAAAGTTTCAATCAGCTGTGTCAATAAGAAATCCCATTTTAATGCATCTCTTCTTTCTTAAAATTTCACTCATTTATTTATGTATGCATTTGACAGACATCTCCTATCTGCTGGTTCGCTCTCCAAACGCCTACAACAGCTGGGGCTGGGCCAGGAGGAAGCCAGGAGAGCAGGACTCCATCTGGAACTCTCACGAGATGGCAGGGATCAAGTATTTGAGCCACCACCTGCTGCTGCCTCCCCAGGGTACACATTAGCAGGAAACTGGAACTGGAGCGGAGCCAGGATCCAAACGCAGGCGCTCCCACAGGGGACGGGGCATCCAAGCAGTGTCCACTGTCCACGTACTCTAAATGTCCGCCCCGCCTCTTCCTTACTGAGAACGAGGCTCAGGCCAGCAGAGCAAGACGGCAGGCCCGAGGCAGAGTAGCCACAAAGCCAGGTCTGCTGCGCCCGCTCTTGGCCCAGACAGCCCCAGCTGCTACTGGGAGACGACTCCAGAGAGTTTAACTGTACTTAGGGAAGCAGAAGCACATGGAGTGGCCTCACACCCTGATGGGGATGGAACAAGCTGGAACAGTGACGGGGGAGGCTCCTGGGGGTGCTGAAGGCACCCCGAAATGCACCTGCCTGAGGTTTACTGCAGG